CGAACCTGGGACCCTTGAGTCCCCAGGCCGATGCTCTATCCAGTGAGCCAAACCGGCCAAGGCTAGATACCCATCTTATATGTGCTACCAAAAAACATTCTACATACTTTCAGCACAGGCCTTTCCGATGTGAAACCCTCAAAGGATGTAAACTTTAAGCCACAACTGATTAGCCACATTTCACTGGCTAGCCAGCAACCTATAATTTGGGTGGCTTGACCAATTAACTGGCAACAAATCAGATTCCCTTTCTTTTGCCTGGAAAGTCACTTCCAGTCAGGGCTTGAATCAGATGCCAGATGACTAGAGAATAGGTCTGTAAAGAAACTGAGCAAATACACAGAAACAAACTGAGCTCACAAAGACTCTAAGAGGAGGCTTTATACCTTATGCTGAAACCATTTTGATTCCCAGCCCCAGGTCTCATGAGGCCTGGCTGTACTCTAGTCTTTATTCAATTTAATGAAACCTCCATTATTTTCAATGTCTCTTTCTTGAGGTAGGTTGCATAGCACTGTTTCTGTCTTTTGCAACAACAACAAAAAAAACACCTGATTACAATCAGCTACTAAAGTCCTAGCAACTGCAACAAGTACCAGTATACTCTCTTTTAGGACTGAAATTTAGAATCTGACAAACCACCACTGAAACATTTTCCAAATTGACAGATCTTTTGGGGAAAGAATGAAAACCTAAATAATCACTGTTGAAAACTAAAATATATACTCTGTTTGAAACCCATATCACTTCAAAAGCCCATGTCACTAGAAATGTGAGCCTGGTCAGTAAAGCAACTACATGTTAAAACTGCCACCAAGATTAAGTCCAGGAACAAATGAAAAAATTCTGGTCTATTCTGAACAGCATTATCACAGGAACATGGATAGTCAACATGGCTACACCATTGCTTTAAGCATTTTCTTCACTTTTATCTCCAATTACCTTCCTTAAAACAGAGAGTAAAGACCAATTTATACTTATTTATACAAATATAAACATGTGAGCTTTTCTGAAGAGGTAGTAACACTTTTATTTTTAATATGATAGGCTAAATTATGATACAGTAGCAAGCATATGTACAGATAATTAGTATCTCAGTAAACAAATGTGTATTTATATTTATTTATAAATCAGGATGTTTCCAAATCTTATATTTAAAGTTTTCTCTCTAGGTGGAAGAGAGAATTAATGGTGACGGAAAAAATAAAATTAAATAAAAGAGTAAAGCTTTCTAAGCTATTAAATAGGTCTTCTTTAATTTAATAGGATTATCATTTTATAATGAAATTTTTACTTTTTGAAAGGGGGTTACATTTTTCATTTGGTCTAAATGTATGCCTCTAGAGAAAGTAGCAGTATCCAAATAGCAAATTATACTTTGACCTCATTTGCTGAATTTTGTTTTTTAAAATATAAGACTTTCTACAATTGTTGTTGTTTTTAAGTCAGAATTTCTGAAGATTTATGCAGAAATCACAAACCAACTTTTTGAGCATAATTTAAATTTCCTGGGCCCTCACTGGTTATTTTGTCTTTCACTAAACATGGTGATGACACTGCACGATTTTTTAAAAGGCAAGTTGGTAATAATATATCTAATATTTTATTATATTACTACATACCCTTTGAGGATCTATCACCAAAGCATGGACAAAGTACATAGTTTTATGTATGAAAATACTGACACATGAATTATAATAGGGTTTCTCAGTAGGGTTCCAGTGATACTCTGTATGGCACAATTCTTCCCTGTATAAGACTTTCTAATATGAATGACTGACACCCAATAAATGCCAGAAGGCCCTCCAATCATTATTGACAATCAAAAGTACACATTTCAAATGCTCGCTTCTCCCTAAAATCCACTTACACACACACACACCCCAAGGCAAAACAGGCAGCCAATACATCTCCAATGATATCATTTCAATGACACAAACACTAAGGATAGATTAGTCTGTAAATATTACTATAAGTCAGCGGTTCTCAACCTGTGGGTCGCGACCCCTTTGGGGGCCGAACGACCCTTTCACAGGGGTCGCCTAAGACCATCGGAAAACACATATATAATTATATATTGTTTTTGTGATTAATCACTATGCTTTAATTATGTTCAATTTGTAACAATGAAATTGGGGGTCACCACAACATGAGGAACTGTATTAAAGAGTCGTGGCATTAGGAAGGTTGAGAACCACTGCTATAAGTAAAGCACTGAAAAATGCTTATTTGTATAAATCCTTTGATCACACCATATTAAAATAAACACATATAAAATGGACTTGAAGAAAACACATGGAAATGGAGAGAGGTTTTGTTAGGGTGGTGGGAGAGGTGGTATTTCTCTTTCTCTAATGTTCATAAAGTGACTATATTGGCTATATTTTTTTAACTAAATAAACTTAAGTAGTTGACAGATTTTGCCTTATTAGTACTTTTGAAGACCAGAGAGAAAAAGAAAACCAGCAAGCAAAAAATCAACAGTGTTGATGTTAGAAATGGTATTAGAAATCAGGGACAGGATCACCCTTTGAAGGGAAGCATAATTCTAGGGTGTAGACAATTCTGATCTGGGTGCTGGTTACACAGAAATGTTCACTTGGGATAAATAGACTTATCCATGCACTCTTCTATTGCACATTATACCTCATATTATAAAAAGTATATTATAAAAAGCTTGCTGCAAAAATTTCACTGTCATTAACACTGAAATGTATATCTTCCATACAACTACTACTATTGCATTTTTATCCATTTCAACCCAAACCTGCAAACACATCTGTAATATATTGACCATATTATATGACAACTTCATTACAGAGCAGAACAAAAGTATATCAATATTTTTTAAAAACAGGAATAAGGGATTGCATTTATGGAAAAGCTGGTTAAGGATTTTGCCTGGCCCATATGTGTTATATTTATGTTAGAGTTTCATTAAACATATTACAGTTTGTGACACACTCACTTCATATTAATGTACAATGTTTAAATAAAGAGCTCTTTATTCTCTTTGACTTTTAAAGGGCAAGTAATTAACACTTGATTTCAAAAAACAGTTCATTACCAAGTGTCAGATAATTACTGGCAGCATGTGCCACCCAAGCCCACATTTCAACTATGTAAGTGGTACTATGTTGCCAATGAAGACTATTCTGTGATGTAGTTCTACCTGCAAGAAACCTTATTACCACAACCTTACAAGCAAGGTTAGGTTACGAAGATTTAAATACAAAATATTTTTACTGCATGATTCCAATTCTTGCAGGATACAGCACTCCTCCAAGCACTTCTCAATTAAGAAGTTTCCAATGCTTAAATGGATAGCAGAAAGCATTTTCGAAAGTTAAATAAGATGTTCAAAGCTATGTATGTCACAGCTAGTCAACAAAGATGTGAGTGTACGTACACTTATGAAGTATGCTTGATAAAATATTACCTGAATGTTTTCATGCAGAAGCAATCTATATAAATCCAGATTATGAGTCATTCTACAAAAACAAACTACAAGACAGAGTATCAATGTCATGACTTTTAAAACGATGACAGGGGGCTGTTCTAGATTAAAGGAGATAACCAAATGCAATGGGTAGAGTCTGATTACAATCTAGGTCAAAAAAAAGAAGGAAAAAAAAACATTAGAATATCTGGGGGGCTTTTACCATAAACATATATTACCTTCTCAATGTTAAACTCCTTGGGCATGTAAACAGTGCGGCATTGCAGGAGGCTGTGCTTGTCTTCAGAGACACATACTGGCATGTTGAGGGATGAATGGCTACGGTGTCTACAACTACTGCACGCACTTTCCCAAGGACCGGGAGGCGGGAGAGGAGAGGGGGCGGTGAGAAGGGGAGACAGGCGGAAAGAAATCAACCGAGGCAAGCGATGAACGCAGGTGAAGGAGACCTGGGCGTTCTCTCAACTTTCCTGTATGCATGAATTACCCGACAACAACAAGCAGAGGGCTTTTTGGGCCAGCTTTTACCAATACCTAGGAAGTAGCAATGCGATATACAGACAGAAAACCTAAAGACTTAAGTGAAATAAACCAAAAAGGCACAAATATTTTTAAAAAGAAAAATACTCGACAACTCCTCTCCCTTCTTTCACAGGATTTCGACAGAATAAACAAAATATTGAGGATTTTAAGATTCTAAGCTCTATCGTTTTAAAAAAAAAAAAAAAAAAAAAAAAAAAACACGTTATGCGTATAAGAATGTGAACTACTCACAAACCCCTGACAAATTCTGAGTAGAGAGTATTACTGTAATAGGGAAATCTTACTTCAAAACACACTAACTACTCAGGAAGTGTCCGCGACCTGGCCTATCTGGACTTGGAAGAATATGCAGCAGAGAGAATCCCGCACCAACTAATACTTTTTCGGGAGGCGTCGGGACAGCGTGACCTTCCAGGAGGAAACACTCATCTGCGGCCGAGAGGGTGACGGGACGTGATGTTTAACCACACGGAGGGGCTCGGCCGAGCGGACCGAGAAGATGCTGAATTCGTGAGCACCGCCCCGAGAACAAACAGCCCAATTCCCTGCAATCCCAGGCTTCCCGGCGGCAACAGCGGCCTGGCACCGGGCCCTAAGAACCAGACAGTTCGCAGGCGCATCCCCGCGATTTTCGCATCGCGCACCAGGCGTCCGCCGGGAGGGCAGTTCGGGGCCCACCTGCGGCCATCTTAAGTTCTGGAGAAAAGGGGAGGGGGAGACCCCGAATTGCAGGATTCGGCGGAGAGCACTAGTCCTGCAGGCACGGAAAAAAGGCAGCCTTTGTAAGAGCTCGGTGCAGAGGTTAAGCCCCCAAAGCCCGGCTCACAAAAAAGGTGGGATCGCGGTGCCCCGCGCCGCCCTAATCAAACGTGGGCACCCAGGTAAGGCCGGGCGGTCACGTGACGGGCACCGCGCGCCCCCGGCCGCGCTCCCCCGCGCCAGTCCCCAGGTCCCCATGGCGCCCGCGCCCCTCCCCCCGCCGAGCTCGAGCACTTACTCCGGGGGGTAGAGCCGCAGCTCCTCGATTTCTCCTAGGAAGGAAAAAAGCGTCCGCATCTGCTCGCTGGTCACCGCGGACGACAGGTTCGTCACCTGAATCACTGTCGTAGGGCTGAGGCCGAAGCCTAAGCCCAAACCGAAGCCGCCGCCGCTGTTCATCCCGCTCCCACGGCAGCTCCCTTCAGTGCCCCAACGTCTGCGACGCGTCAGCGACGGAGCCGGGAAAGCGGAGCACGCGCGGCCGCGAGCGCGCTCCCGCCGGCGAGTTCCCGGCGGCGGGCAGGTCTAGCCGCTCATTTCCCAACTCGCCTGCTCCCGGGGCTGCGCGCGCCGCCGGAAGCGTCGCTCGGGCAACGCGGCAGATCTCGCGAGGCGACGGCCTGGCTCACTGTCTACGAGGCAGTGGCTCTTGCTCCTCTTCTCCCCCAAGGGGTTTGTCGCTTTTGTTTACCCGGATGCCACTGGGCCAAGTACTTGTGCTCCTATAAACGTGGGAAACTCAGCTCTTTCCGGCCTTTAGCTAGGACTAGGGAACGGAAAGCCCGGCCTGCTGTCGCTGGAGAGGAATGACGCTGACATCGCAGATAAATACTTGACCAAACCATAAACGCGTCATTTTAATATACAGGTGGCTCCCTCACCCCAACTATTTAAAAAAATTGGCCGGCCTCATAATTGTAAAGGGAAAAAACGTGGAAAGTTTTACAAAACGTGTAAATTAAGGACAGAGGTAGTAAGATCAAGGCTGTGCGGTCATTGTTTATAATGTCATTTATGCGCTCATTCCGCAGGTATTAATATTTATTGTTTTATGCACCACTTAGGGGCACAAAGAAAACAGTTACAGATGGTCCACAGAAAACTTGCAACCTAATGAGAGAAAGTGACAGCAGTATGTGAAATAGTAGTATGTGAAAATGCTATCCCCAGAACTCTGAGGGTCCTAGAGGCAACTTATAGTGGGTCCACAAGGTCAAACCATTCTTTATAATAAAAGCCTAAAATGCTAAGTGTCTGTTTGTCCAGCTGTCCATTCAACCAATCCTATCTAATAAAAGAGAAACATGGTAATTGGCTATGTCCGCTACCCTTCCCATTGGCTAATCAGGGCGATATGCAAATTAACTGCGAGCCAAGATGGCGGCCGGCAGCCAGGCAGCTGGAAGCGAACATGAGGCTTGCTTGCTTCAGTGATGGAGGAAACCAACGTTTCCCGCCTACCGCTGCAGGCCTCTGATCTGGCAGTTTGAAACATTGTAACAAATATAGAAGCTAAACAAAATCCCAGAAACCTGCTTTCAGCTAGCTGGGATCTCAGAGCTGGAGTTGATAAAGTGTCTCGATTATAGAACCCAAACAAACCAGATACCTGCTTTCAGCAGCAGAGGCCTCAGAGCTGGAGCCAGAGCTAAAGCTGGCCCAGAATTAAAAAGAAAAAGGAAAAGAGGAGCGGTTGGGAGCTCAGTCACCCGCCAGCCTGAAAACAGCCCTCAGCCCCTCACCCAGACTGGCCAAGCACCCCAGTGGGGACCCCCACCCTGATCCAGGACACCCTTCAGGGCAAACCAGCCGGCACCCACCCGTGCACCAGGCCTCTACCCTATATAGTAAAAGGGTAATATGCCTCCCAACACCGGGATCAGCAGAGCCGCAAGGCCTCCCGGCACCGGGATCAGCGTGACGGGGCAGCGCCCAAACCCCCTGATCGCCCTGCGGCTCTGTGTGTGACAGGGTGTGGGGCCACAACCCCCTGATCGGCCCTGCTCTGTGGGTGATAGAGGGCGGCACCCCAACCCCCGCCCCCACGGGCTCTGTTCTGTGTGATGGGGTAGAGCCATAACCTCCCCATCGGCCCTGCCCTGAGTGTGACAGGGTGCGGCGCCCCAACCCCCTGATCCGCCCTGCTCTGTGTGTGACAGGGGGCGGTGCCCCAACTCCTCTATCGGCCCTATTCTGTGAGTGACAGGGGGGAACTCCCCAAACCCCTGATCGACCCTGCTCTGTGCATGACAGGGTATGGAGCCCCAACCCCCCGATGGGCCCTGCTCTGTGCGTGACAGGGGGCAGCGCCCCAAACCCCTGATGGGCCCTGCTCTGTGCGTGACAGGGGGTGGCGCCGCAACCTCCCCATCGACCCTGCCTTGAGTGTGACGGGGGCGGTGCCCCAACCCCCCAATCGGCCCTACCCTGAGCATGACTGAGGGTGGCATCGCAACCTCCCGATCCGCCCTGCTCTGTGCATGACAGGGGGCGGCGCCCCAACTCCCCAATCAGCCCTGCTCTGAGCCCGACCAGGGGTTGCACCTAGGGATTGGGCCTGCCCTCTGCCACCCGGGAGCAGGCCTAAGCCAGCAGGTCGTTATCTCCCGAGGGGTCCCAGACTGCGAGAGGGCACAGTCTGGGCTGAGGAACCTCCCTTCCCCCCCCCCCCCCGAGTGCACAAATTTTTGTGCACCGGGCCTCTAGTCAAAGCATAATATGCTAATGATATGCTAAGGTTGCTCAACTGCTTGCTGTGATGTGCACTGACCACCAGGAGACAGATACTCCAACTGGCAGATTAGCTTACTGCTGGGGTCCAGCCGATCAGGACTGAACAAGACAGCCCGGACACGCCCTGGAGCCCTCCTATGGTCCCTCCCCAGCTGGCCAACCTCCCACATCCCTCCCCGGCCCCAATTCTGCACAAGTGGGGTCCCTTGACCTGGCCTGCACCCTCTTGCAATCCGGGACCCCTGGGGGGATATCAGAGAGCTGGCTTAGGCTCGATCCCACAGGCCAGGCCGAGGGACTTCACTGGTGCATGAATTCATGCTCCAGGCCTCTAGTTTCATAATAATACTAGAGGCCCAATGCATGAAAATTCATGCAAGAATAGACCTTCCTTCCCCCAGCTGCCGGCACCAGGCTTCCCTCTGGCACCTGGGACCCGGGCTTCCTTCCTCTGGCTGCCGGCAGGCACCAGGACTTGCTGGCTTCCTTCTGGCCCCAGCTTTGCCAGGAAGGATGTCCAGAAGACGTCTAGTTTAATTAGCATATTATCCTTTTATTATTATAGACTTGAGGCCTGGTGTACAAAATTCATGCATGGTGATGAAGGGGGTGTCCCTAAGCCCAGCCTGCATCCTCTCCAACCTGGGGCTCCTCGGGGGATGTCCAACTGCCAGTTTAGACCCTATCCCACAGGATGCAGTCAGACATCCCTCTCACAATCCAGGATTGTTGGCTTCTAACTGCTCGCCTGCCTGCTTGATCTCCCCTAACCACCTCTGCCTGCCTGCCTGATCGCCCCCAACTGCCCTCTCCTCCCCTGCCGACCTGATTGCCCCCAACTGCCCTCCCCTGCTGGCCTGATCGCCCCTACCTGCTTGCTCTCCTATGCTGGCCTGATTGCGTCCTTAACTGCTTGCTCCCCTGCTGGCCTGATCGCTCATAACCATCTCTGCCTTGGCCCCTGCCACCATAGCTTTGTCCGGAAGGAAGGCAGATATCCAGAAGATGACCAGTTGACCCGGTCTAATTAGCATATTACCCTTTTATTAGTATAAGTATGTGAATATTGGGAAGATCTCTGGAACCCATAAATCTCTTAGGGTCTTCAATATTTTTCAAGAGTATAAAGATGTTTGAGAACTACTACCAGAGGGATAAGCACAGGTCATGGGAGCACCTAAGAGGGCCACTTAAACTTAGTCTTACTGGAAAACTTCCCAGGAGCGATGTTGCACTGAATCTGAAATAAATAGGAATTAGCCAGGCAAGGAGGGAGGAGTAGTGAGGGGCCTTCCAGAATAAGCATGCAGAATATACAAAGAGAGAGAGGTCTGAGAGCCTAAATGAGTTCCAGAATATTCAGATTTACTATTGCTAGACCAAAGGCTGAGAATGACTAGAAATGGATAAAAATAATAAGCCTTGGTAAAAGGTGGTATTTGTCATACTAATAGATCACTTAATCATACTCTGTTGGGAGCTAATGAAGTCCCTGGAGCAGCGGAGTAACCATGATCAAAATCATGTGTTAGAATTACTGTCTCTGCAGCATGGAAATACATTGAAAAGGGTGCAAATCAGAAGCGAAGGGACTGGATTGTGGTAATGGAAAGCAAGGGACAGTCCTAAATATGGATTACTTGGTCATCCTATCTAATAAAATAATAATATGCAAATTGACCATCACTCCAACTCACAAGATGGCCACCCCATGTGGGCACAAGATGGCTGGCAGAGGAGGGCAGTTGTGGGCAATCAAACCAGCAGGAGAGGACAGTTGGGAGGGACCAGGCCTGAAAGGGAAGGCAGTTAGAGGCGACCAGGCCAGCAGGGGAGCAGTTAGGCATCGATCAGGCTGGCAGCGGAGTGGTTAGGGGCAATCAGGCAGGCAGGCAGGCAAGTGGTTGGGAGCCAGCAGTCCTGGATTGTGAGAGGATAGTCCGGCTGCCCCTTTAGGCCCGATCCCATCCACTAGGATTGGGCCTAAACGGGCAGCTGGACATCCCTCGAGGGGTCCCAGATTGGAGAGGGTGCAGGCTGGGCTGAGGGACACCTCCTCCCGCCCCCCACCCCCCACGCACAAATTTTATGCACCGGGCCTCTAGTTTGAAAATAAAAGGAGTAAAAGCTGTTCATTCAGAGAAGTATATACAGATACACTTTCAGTTTTAGACACACTTACAAATGCTTTTTGGTCATCCTAAATGGATTCCTAGGATTAAAAACTTCTAGTTTAGGATACTGGCCCTCAGACTTTACGGTGAATCAAAATCACCTCATTGGTGTGTTAACACAGATTGCTGTCTCCATCCCCAGAGTTTCATATTTGGTCTGGAGCGGGACTGAGAATTTTAATTTCTAACAAGTTCCCACATGTTGCTGCTACTGGTGGTGATCTGAGAACCCCACTTTGAGAGCCACTGGTTCTAAAAGCAGTACTTAGTAAATTTAGTAATCTACTATTGATGATAAAGCAGAAGAAGGAATTTATGTTTCTGGCCCTGGAGGACTGCATAATAGTGCTATAATTTAGGCCTAAAAATAAGAAGAGCAGCTTTGTGAGGAAGGAGTAGAAACTACTGAGATCCATTATGGGCACATTCTGGGAAAGAAATGTCAGGAAACTGTCTAGCACTAAGATACAGTGATTTAAGCTTGAGGGTAGATACAGTTATTTCAGGCACACATAAGCAGAAGTGCAGTGGGTAATATTAAAGAAACAAATAATCAAATACAAGTAAAACCAAACAAGGAGGGAGGATAGTCACAAAAGTAAGGGGAGGA